AGAACATAATGACCCTTCCCACCCTATCCTATCTCCTTGCATCACTCCATCCCTTCTTCCTCCTTCTTTTTTCTTTTAATCTTTACAATTACATATTTTAATTTATTTTATAATCGAAAACTTAACTCTCCACCAAATAAAGAATTCAACAAGTAGTGAGTAGAAAAATCATGTTCCTTAAGGGCTATAAACAAAAATTAAATATCAAAATGTCAATTTCACTCATATACATTTATATACACTGTGAGTCCTAGAAGGAGAAGAGAGAATAGGCAGAGAGAGGGTATTTGAAAATATTTGGTGAAAACTTCCCAAATTTGAGGATAAATGAGGATAACAACAACCAAGGAGTTCAGTGAGTTTCAAGTAGAATAAACTCAGAGACCTACAAGTAGATTTATTTTAATCACATTGTTGAAAGAAGAAACAGAGAATTTTGAAAGCAGGAAAGGAGAAGTGACTCGTTATATACAAATGATTCTCTATATCTTATCAGAAACTTTGGAAATCAGAAGTCAATGGGTCATATAGTCAAATTCCTAAAAGCAAACAACAACTTGCTAATCAAGAATCCTGTACCCAGCAAAACTGTCCTTCAAAAGTGAGGGAAAAATTAAAGCACTCCCACATAAACAAAAGCTAAGGAAATTCATTACTACAAGTTATGCTCTGAAAGTAATTCTGGAGGAAGTCTTGCAGGTTTAAAGGAAAGGACACTAGATTGCAACTTGCAACTGGATGAAGAAATAATTATCTCAGTAAAGGCAAACATATGGACAATTATAAAACTTTGTATCTTTTATATTTTTTTAATTTTTATTTTTTGACAGGCAGCGTTAGACAATGAGAGAGAGAGAGACAGAGAGAAAGGTCTTCCTTCTGTTGGTTCACCCCCAAAATGGCCACCATGGCCGGTGCACTGCACCAATCCAAAGCCAGGAGCCAGGTGCTTCCTCCTTGTCTCCCATGAGGGTGCAGGGCCCAAGCACTTGGGCCATCCTCCACTGCCTTCCCAGGCCACAGCAGAGAGCTGGACAGGAAGAGGAGCAACCAGGACAGAATCTGGCACCCCAATCAGGACTAGAACCCAGGGTGCTGGCGCCGCAGGTGGAGGATTAGCCAAGTGAGCCTCGGCGCTGGCCAAAACCTTGTATCTTTGTGAAATGGGTTTATAACTCTACCTTTTCTTTTCTATATGGTTAAGAGATCAAAAATACAATAATTAATCTAGAAGCTAATATTTTTGTAACTGCTTTAAATTATGCATTAAAAATATTCCTTTATGCTTTGGACATATAATGTATAAAGATGTAATTTTTTGACATCACAATAAATAGAGCAAGAATAGAATTGCTGAAAGAGCAAAGTTTTGAATATTAATGAAATTAAGTTGGTATAAATTTAAATTAGAATATTGTAACTTTAGGAAGTTAAATATAATCCCATGGCAAGCACAAAGAAAATAGCTAAAGAACAAACACAAGGGAAATGAGAAAGCAATTTAAATGTTTCTCTTCAAAACATCAACTAACTTCAAAAGACAGTACTGCAGGAAATGAGAGGAAAAAAAAGGTGTGAAGTATATAGAAAACACATAGTAAAATGACAGAAGATTCTCCTTATTAGTAATTACTTTAAGCACAAATGAATTAAACTCTAATCAAAAGACAGAGATGGGCAGAATATGGCAGAATGTGTTAAAGCCCTGTCCTGCAACACTAGCATCCCGTACAGGAGCTGGTTTGAGTCCCAGCTGCTCCACTACTGATCCAGATCCCTGTTAATGTGCCTGAGAAAAGCAGCAGGCAATGGCCCAAGTCCTTGGACCCCTGCTCCTGGCTTCTGGTTTTAGATCGGCTCAGCTCCAGCCATTGTGGCCAGTTGGAGAGTGAACCAGTAGATGAAAGACCCTTTTTCTCTTTCTCTCTCTCCTCCTTCTCTCTCTCTCTTTCTGTCTCTCTACCTTTCTCTAACTCTTTTAAATAAAATAAAATAAATCTTGAAAAAAAACCAAGAAAACTAAAAAAAAAAATATCATAATTAAACTCTTCACTGTCTGTAGAAGATCCATTTAAGATCTAGACACATATAAGTTGAAAATAAAAGGATGGAAAAGGATATTCAATTCAAATAACTACCAACGGAGAACAGGGTTAACTGTTTAGATAAATTAGACTTTAGGTCAATGCTTATCAGAAACACAAATGATTTAGTTGAAAGTCCTTAAGGTAGAAACCCAAACTCTGAAGCTTACAGAGCTAAAAGGCCCTGTACTAATGACTTCATTAAGTTATATAATAGATATTGACTTTATATAATAGAAATTGACATTCACATCTATTACAAGGATTACAAATAAAACATATAAGTCACAAGCCTCATAATATGTGCATTTATGTAAGTATTATTTGAGTGTATGAAAAAGTTTCCTTCCACCATAGCAATAATGGATTTAGGCAAGGATAATTAAACCATTCGGTGAAGTTTTATAGGGCATTATAAAATGCTGTGTTGCACTGAGCACTAATGAACTGTTCTAGAATTATAGGAGATAAAACATGCAAGACAGCTAGATGTATTCAATAATTCTGGATTGGATCTTGGACCGAAAAAAAAGGACATTATTGGGAAGGTTGTCAAAACTTTAGCATTTGCTGTTTGCCAGATAAAGTGTGTTTTAATTTGGTCATAGTTCTGTGGTTAGAGTTAGAGAATATCCTGGGAAGATATATATTGAGCATTTACTCTCAATGGCTCATAATAAAGAATAATAATGTGCTTGAGAGAAGAAACAGAGAGAATCCAAATGCATCAAAAATAAGTGGTGACGTCATATAAAGAGCATTGTGCCCATTATGACATTTTCTCAATTTTCTGTAGGTGTGAAATTCTTCAAAATAAGAAAGTAAAAAAAATAAAAATAATTAGAGTCAAAAGTTGTCATCAAATTCAACGTGGAACATAATTTAAGGGTACTTCAAAAGTCCATGAAAAATGAAACTAAAAGATAAGTTTATTTTGCAGCAAAACAATTTTTTGAAATCCATGCATAACTTTTTCATGAACTTTTTGAAGACTCCTCAAATATGATATCTATACTGAATGTGTACTAGTCAGTGAATCCTATAATTGTGAAAGATCGATTTTACATTGCCCATCAGAACACAGATTTATTTATGTGTATGTACATATAAAATGGAAACAAGCAATTCACAAAACAATACCTATTCTCACATTTCCTTACTCATTTTCGTAGATGGTATTATATTGTATTTGTGTTGTATTCTACTCTTTTCTATTCTATTCTACTGTATTTCACTTTTTGAAAACTTCTTATTGCCTTGCATTGAATTTATTCCATGATCCTCTAATAGGTCACAAGCCACAGTTATATATGGTGAATTTTGCAAATCAAGTGAGATATTATGGATTTAGCAGCAGAATCACACTGATTATGGTTATATGATATATATCTACTAAGGAAAGTGAATTAAAGTTATGTCATTGAGAAAGATACAGTATGTAAAAAGAGCATTCATGCAAAGTTGCATAGCTAATTTGTTCTTTTGACTTTGATATTTTTAGAAATCAGTATACTTATCCTATAGAGAACAAAGAACAATAGTTTGGTAAAAATAATCGTATAAGAGTTTTTTAATATTGATTCCTAAAAATAGTTATAGTTTAAATCTAATTGCATGAGTTTCAATTAATTTAATATTTGATACATTTAAGCATTTGCTTGTACATCATGGCATGGCATTAGATATCAAACTATAGACATAGTTCCAAAGGATCTATATTTTTTTCTATAAGACAACTTAAAAATTATATCCCCAATAATAAAGAGTATGAATAGTTGTTTGAGTTTTCTATGGGACGGGCTCTTTTCCAAGTGGCATATAAACCTCACCTCATTTATATCATCAAGCAAGCTTTTGAGATTACTTCAATTAAACTTAATTTGCAGGAAAGAAACTGAAGCTCAGGGACATGAAACTCCTAAGACCACACAACTAGTCTATGATAAGGTTAGGATTTGAACCCAAGTCCTTTTTACTCCAATGTTTAAATGCAAATATCTTCAACAGCATATAATATAAACTGGAAGATGCAATTTATGTAATTTCCCTTAGAGTTTCTGGAGGAAGTGTTACTGCCCACACCTTGATTTCAGACATTTGGCCTCCAGACCTGAGAGAGAATAAATTACCATGGTTACAAGACACCCAGTTTTTGGCAATTTGTTATGGCAGCCCTAGAAAATTAATATAGGCAGCCTTTCAAAATGGAGATATGACCTCAATAGTCAAGCTTTTCCCTACAACCTCAGTAGAGAAGCAATTTTAAGATTTAAAAACAAAATCTGAGGTTCAGGAAGCACAGTTTTCAAGGAAATTTACTGAGACCTATATTATCGAATTGCTAGGTGCAAACTCAATATTCACCATATAATACATAAGGATTTGTATATAATACTAATAGAAAGATATGTCTTTTTATAGAGTTAGTGCTTCATTTCACATATAATTCAATAATAACATGGTTATAGATTCTTGAACAAATTCTGTGGCAGAGATTAATCTTGAATTTGTTTCATGTGCACTTTGGTGACTATGGAAAAATTATAGCAGGCCAAGTCATCAGTGCCATTGCTGTAAGAGTATCAGCTCAGAGGCAGGGGCCAGCTGCTGCTAAGTCATGAACAGGGTGAGTAAAAAGGAAAGGTTTTCTGTGGCCCTGGCTGTGCTCAGAACTCCAAATCCAGTAAAACAAACACACCTAGCAAGGGGTTCCCATGACTGCAAAGCACTCAATGCTTCAAATCAAAAGAATGAGTTGGGATATACGTTTATAAAGCCAGGATCCAATGCAAGAATTGGAGCTTTCAGTCAGCATATCTAATGTTTCACACTCAAAAATTGTGAATGAAATTCTTTTGAAATCTCTTGAATTTTAAAAATATTGCCAACTAATTCAGTTTAAATAACACCGTGCAGGTTTGTATGGAGCATCATCTATGCTTCCTGGACCACGGGGCGCCCTCTGTTGGAATAGATTCTCCTTTCCAATTGGGTTTGAGAGCTGCAAGAATCAGGCAGTGAATGTGGAGCCTGGACCTAGGTAAGAATTTTAATCTTCCTCAAATGCAGGTGGCACTTTACAATACAGAGCTGAGCTCCACCATTATTCCTTCACAGGATCAAAAAACAAAAACAAACAAAACTCAAGTAAAATAAAAAACTCTACCAAAGACAGGATATTCAGGGACTATGTTTACAGCTTAGCTATCCACAGTTTATAAGATTAAGGGAGATGGAAAATTTTCTTGCTCTGTTGCTTAAGTTTGAGAATTTGGACCATGGATGCCTGGACTAATTTTGTATCCATTCATTTTTGTTCCTGGAGATACTGATATCTTGGCAGAATTGTTTCTCAGTTTCCAAGGGTCAATGAGACAACCTAATTTTAATTAACTGCAACAGGAAAAGGCTGAAGCTGTTAGGGAATGGCTATTAAGAAGAAACGTAGAAAAGCTAGACCTTCCACTACAATAGCACTGGGGCGCTGGGTACCTCTGTTTCTGTTTGTGAGGAATCCAGAGTTGGAAGCAGCCATGGATCACAGGAACTTACTGAGCCCTTGAATGTAGCTGGTTCAAACTGACACATGCTGTTAATAGATGCACACTGGATTTCAAAGACTTGGTCCAAAACCAAGAAAGAAAAAAGTAACATATCTCATGTTGAAACAAAAATATTTTGCACATATCAGGTTAAATAAAATATTTGTTAAAGTTACTTTCACCTGCTTCTTTAATTGTTTTTCATGTTGCGGCAAAATTTACAATTACCTGTGAATTACATATATGGCCTGCATGTGAAACTCACATTTATTTCTATTGGATAACATTGCTTTCGATGGATCATTAGTTACATAGCCGTTTGATATGGATCCAAAGCTTAAATTAGTGGTTAATGTTTCATGTGGTATCTGAATAGCAAAGTGTCATGTACACCATAGCACAGTTTATTTTTTATGAATTGGGCAAATACATTATTTGACATTATGAACACACCTTTTGCATAACAGGTATTTCTTATATGAGACATCTACAAAAATTTCATTTAAAGTGTACATTTAAAAAATTATGCATCAACCTCAAAAAATTTTTGCACTACAATGAGCTTATCCTTTAATTCCAATTTTCCATGAAAATTTTGAAGGTCCCTCATGAATATTTATTGCACATATTTTGTGTCAAATGTCAAAACATGAGTTAGCTGATGAATGCCTGTCAAAGCAATCTTCACTTAGATGAGAAAGTATAATTGTAAGTCATAGCAGAAATTTTAGTTTACACGCTGCATTAGCCACTTTAATCTACACAGAATATTCTCTATAATGAATTTCCATGTGACAGCACCAAGTCCAGATGTAACATTTAGATTATTGGTAAGATTTTTAGATTAATTTATCATGAATGAAAGAGATATTTGTCTCTCACACAATTTAATTTGCATTCCCTTTTTAGAAATCTTAAAAGCCCAATAGAGGGAACAGTAATGGACATTAAACCAATTCAAAGTTGTAAGCACTTAATTTCCTCATGTAACATGGTTGTCTCTTGAATACAAATGGATACATTAATTTGAAAAGAAAGTACACTTTTTGGTTGGCAATGAAGGAAATACTTGAGATTGTACTATTGAGACAAATGAAGAATCACTTGTCAGAAAATGGTTTCCAACACAATATTCAAATATTGTCAATTTGGGTTTAAATTATAGGAAGAGTTGTTGTATCCTTACAGGAAGACAGAATTTAAATGAATGATATTACTAAGGTGTGCATAATGTTTTTAGTATTATTTTATATACAGTGCTATTTGGGGGTGTTTTTGTAATTGTCACGATCTAATGGCATTTATTTAGTCTATGTTTTCTTCTTTACATTCTGCTAAAATTAAAGAATTGTAGACTTTAATATTTGGGTGGAAAAGTGTTTATAGCCAAACTCTGCCAAAGTCATACTGACTCTGATTCCAGAGAATTATTACCTGGATGCTTTTGTTTCAAACCATTAGCATTAAGAAATTCATGATCCCATACAGAAGTTCACATCTTACAATCACTTGCCAATTTCAGGCTTTTCTCATTGACAGCTGTACTCTTTACACGATTTCACATTCGAGTTCAAGAAATAGATGTGAAGGGAGGTATCACTTGCTATGAGATGTGATAAATTCCAAGTAGTTCATAGGAACATTCCAAACACTTTTGAGTGAATAATACTGAAATAATTAAAAAAATCCATCATCCTACCTAGTCAGGTGATGCAATCTTCTGCTCTGATGTTTCAAGTCTGCTGGCTTAAGAAGCTTCATAATAGGCCGGCGCCGTGGCTCAATAGGTCCAGCTGGGGTGCCGGATTCTATCCTGGTTGCCCCTCTTCCAGTTCAGCTCTCTGCTGTGGCCCGGGAGTGAAGTGGAGGATGGCCCAAGTCCTTGGGTCCTGCACCCTCATGGGAGACCAGGAGAAGCACCTGGCTCCTGGCTTTGGATCAGCGCAGTGCGCCAGCCACAGCGGCCGTTGGAGGGTGAACCAACAGTAAAGGAATACCTTTCTCTCTCTCTCTCTCTCTCACTGTCCACTCTGCCTGTCCAAAAAAAAAAAAAAAAAAATAAAGCAACAACAAAATGCGCTTCATAATATAAAGTATCTTAGATAAGTTCCTTAGTACTAACTTGGTTATTTGTACTGAGACTTCATTTAATTTCAAAGAAACTCTGCTTTTCTGTATTCTAGGCATTGCCATATGGACTCAGATTTAATTTGTTAGAGGAGTTATTCTAGTTTAAAACATTTACAGGGCACTAATTTGATCAAACTCCTCACTTTACCAAAACAGCCCAAAAGGATCTGTAGAGGATATACAGAGAAAATGACAAACAGTTTATTCTCAGGAGGCTTGTCAGTAAGTTGAGAAGAGCAGATATATTCAGTTTACGTGGAAGGATAATGGGCTGTAAGGAGTCGGGTCAGTGTGGTGATCAAGGACATGGACTTTGTATCCTCACTCTCTCACTTACTGGATGTTTGTCTTAGATAAGCCATTTAATCTCACTGAGCCTCATCTGTAATCACAGTACTGTAAGAATTAAAAGAACATTTATGAAGTTTGAACAGTTGTTGTTGCATAGCAGGCTCCCATTAATTATGTACAATACATGAATTTTGATACCCATTCAAAGATAGAAGGGAATGAAAATTTTTATTAAATTTTGATTTGTTTATAATACATTAGAAAAATTGGTGATTTAGGATTTGAAAAGCAATAGTCTCTTATTCAATTAAAGCAACCCCAATGTCCCTGAATCAAAACTCAGAGATTTCAACTCCGTAACTGTTTATTCTAATATTTTCTTTCTTATTTCAAAGTATCAACACAGATTACTGGCTCTTTCTTTTATTGTGACTATGATCATCAAAAATTTCTTTTATATTTCAAGGAGCTAGAAGTGAGATTTTGAATCTCCTCATCATAAAGAGTAGATGTGTTCTATTTACATGGAAGGATAATGGGTTGATATATATCAGAGAACAGATATTAAGGAGTCAAGGCAGTGTAGTGGTTACATATTTAATGTAGTGAATATGCTGATTATACTAATGATGTCATCATTACACATTGTATACATGTATCAACACATTACATTTTACCCCCATAAAGATGTTTAATTGTGGATCAATTAAAATCAAAAAGAATGGGACAGGGCTTGTGGGGCAATGGATTAAGCCACCTCTTGGGAATCCCACATATATGTATTAGAGTACAGATTCTAACCCTATTTCCTTCACATCCTTGAAAGCAGCAAATAATCAAGTAAGTGTTTGTGTCCCTGCCACATACATGTGCGAGACCTGGATGGAGTTTTCAAGTTGCTGAGTTTTGCCTGGCCCAGCCCTGACTGTTCCAGACATTTGGGTTGTGAACCAGTGATTGGATCATCTCCCTCTCTTTAATCTCTCTCTCTCTCTCTCTCTCTCTCTCTCTCTCTCTCATTCTGGCCTTCAAGTAGATGAAAATAAGTAAATAAAGATTTTTAAATATCAAAAAGGAAAAGGAACACTTTTAAGCAGTGAATAAAATGGGTCCTGTGTGGCAATGACTGTTTATACCCATATGAAAAGCTTCTGCATTCAGGCCAAATTTGAAACAACACTCTATCTCTCATACACCCTCAAAGCACACATCCTCGTAAGACATAAGCAAGAAATAGATGTTTTCTGAAGATGTCTGGGAGATACCAGAAAGGTCCATGGCATTCCTTGTGCCCAAACTTCATGGACTGTTCTTTGAGACAACTGTCATTCTCTTCCATCTCTTTCTGCTTCCCACTCCTCTCAGGATCGGCCCCTACAGCTCAGGCAGCACTGGTTTCACCATCTGGCTCCCCACAGATCCCCACATCCTGCCTCCACCTAAAGTTCCAACATGCTTATGGTTTCCTGCTCACACTCATTGCTCATCTCCATGAGGAACTCTCCTCATTTAGTGGGGAGGAGGCTATAAAACATTTATCCCTTTTGAAGAAGCAGCTTGTGGTGGAAAATGTCTCACTACCAAGCAACATCAGAGGGTTAGTGCTGGATAAGCAGGCCTGGTGGAGACTGTTGAGCTTGTTCAGTAGGCATTAGAAACCACGGCAAGCTTTTGGGTCAGCAAAGTAACAGAATCTGTGAAATATTTCTAAAAAGAACCTACTTGGGTTGGTTAAAACAATTGGAAATGGAATCAAGAGGTCTGAATTTCTTTAATTTGTTCTAAAGAAAATTGTCCTTTTTTCTTTTTGAGTTTGAGTCTTTCCAGTGTAGCAGAGGTTTGAGTTCAATGATTTATTCTTTGTTTCAGATCCAAAATCCCAAATCTTAAAGTAGTTTACCAGATGTAACACCATCCTGTAGATACAGAGTTGAGACAACAAACCCAAGCTCAGGTGCCTAGAGGCTGAGTGGGGTGCCTCTAGAGAGCTTAAAAGTCTTGTGTTCCTAGCATTCTCATGGCTGGACAGATGGATGAGATCTCCTTCATGACTTTTTCTTCACAGTGTGACAATCAA